TTTTACTATTTATAAAAATAATTGTTTTTATTTTATTATATTCTAGTTAAAAACTAGAATATTTTTGTAGAGAATTATCACAGTAGGTACTAATTAATAGATATTTAAATTACACGTAAAATTACCTTCAAATAAGTCAAAGAACATAAACTGGCATCCACTTAATTTTGAAAATTAAATTTTAAAGCTTAAATTTAAATTCTTTTTGCCTAAAATCAACATAAAATTTTGAAAAATTAATTTCTTGTCAGTTTCAGCTTCATTCAAAGAACATTAAAACATCTAAATTATTTAAGAAATTATGTTAATTTTAATAAAACAAGGCAAACTCAAGAATATTTTTGATGTTTCTAGAAAATTAATTAAATAATTTTCTCCAACACTTGCTCTGAAAGGAGTACTTTTCTTGGTAGAAAAGTGTGGCGAAAGTAGAACTTTTCTCAACTGCTCTGAAGAGCGTGGCGAAAGTAAAATTTGGCGTGGCGAAAGTAAATCATGAATTTATTCTTTTTTCTTGTTCTTTGACCGATATTTATTTTGTATCTAACTTCTTCCCCACTCAAAACATTCGTCTTTTATTATATTAAACATAAGCACACGTTAAATTAAAATTATACGAAACTCACGAAGAAACCTTTCCTCGCAAGGCGTTGGAGAAAACGTAGTGCACAACTCGTGGTGAAAGAATGATTTTTCGAGAGTGAAGTTTGCGGCTCGAGCGTAGCGAGAGCAGCAATCACTCGAGAAAAATCATTCTTTCACCACGAGTTGTACAATGTACTATTGTTTGAGGTTTAATTTTTAAAAAATTCTAATAGTTTTTAGTGGCTTAGAGGGAAAAAATGTTGATTAATACATTTTAGATTTAGATTACGGATTTAAATTAAAAAATCAATATTATACCCGTCGAAGATGGGAACCTAGCTAGTAAAGAAATAAATGTCTCAACAAAAAATTGTTTCGTAAAGAGATACAAAAATATTTTCTATTATGAGCGATAAACTTGGAAAAGTTTCCCTTTTCTACGTATTATATGTGCGACAACAATGAAGATCAATTTCAAAAAATAAAACTATCACTGGATACATATCTCTTCCTTTTCTTGGGAGGATAGAGATAGAGAAAGAGAAAGAGGGAACTATTCGCCAAAATCCCAGGCTTTGGAACAAAAAATTCAGCTACCGAGACGATGATTGCCCTGGCACTGGATCATTAGTGTTCGTTCCTTTTCCACTCAGCCGCACGTTCTATCTCTCTTTCTCTTTACTTTCTCATCCCTCCCGGCTTTACTTTTTCCCGCTTTTTTCGACCACCTGATAAAATAGCTCGCTTAGATTTCGCCAGCAGCGAGAATCAAGTTGAAAATTTTCCTTCCTTCAATTTTCATTCTATTTTATTTTTATTCAAAAAGTCAAACACGAAAAATCCAGAGGAACCTCCTGCAAAAATTTTCCAAACTGCATAATTTTTTATTATTGTTTGCTATTATTTTTAGCAGATTTTTTAGATTAATTTGCTATGTAAATCTTTTTGTGTTTTATACGTTCTTACCCCACACTCAGAAAAAAGCTTTTGTTAATTTAATGAAATTATTTGCTTTGACTTGTTTCTTCGATTCAAAATTAATTTCTATTTGATTGAAAAATATTTGAATCAAAAACAATATATTTGTTTCAAAGAAATTTTTCTATTTAAATTAGAGAATCATTTATAATTAAAGAATAATAATTTCTAAACTATCAATTTCTTTGATTCAAAGAACCAATTTCTCGGATTCAAAAAAAAATTGTTTAAAATTAAAGTAAATTTGTCTAAATTAAGAAAATCCCCAAATTATAATTATTAACAAAAGCAATATTTCTTTTTGATTAAATTTTTGTATCGAATGGAATAAAAATAAATAAACATAAAATGCTCCAGATTCAATCGAGTTATTGATACGGGTCCTAACAACGGTTTTATTTTAAGAAGCTGATTGTGCGAGGAGAGAGAGAAAGAGAGGAGACTGGACATTCGAAAGGGTCCAGATCTAGAGATGTCTTGTGCGCAAAGCACAGTGGAGGCATACTGGAGTCATCCAGAGTGCCTCGCTGAGAGAACCCTCCCTCTTTCCTCTTTCAAGTTCCATTCGTTAGTTTTTTCATCGTCTGCGCGAGCTCTCTCGCTTTAAAACGATCGTTGCGAACTCATTCTCGTAGTTTGCTCCTCAGCAGGTGTTAAGGGAATGATCTAATGATTTTCTCTATATTCCTCAATATTAAACGAGAAACATTTTTCGTAACTCGAATGATATTGCTCATTTCAATTCGCATATAATTTCGTCACATTGACATTGAACTGGAAAAAAAGCCGTACATTATATATATAGAACATGACGAAATAAAATTAGTTTCATAATTTCTTATCACAACTATTAAATTATTCCCTATTGAATTTTATTTTCTTTTTATGAATTTAAATTTTTTAAATTCAAATTCAATTTAACTTCAATTCGAATTTAATTCTATTGTATAAACTAAATTTTCATTTGGAAAATAAATAAAAATTTTGCCTTCCTTGCCATCCTTTTGCATTCAAACGGAAATTTACTTATTATATTTCTTAATTTTTAACTTTCAAATAAAAAAAGTGAACGTAATTTTGAAATTTAATTTTCAGAAAGAAAGAAGACATTTTTTTTGTAATAAATACAAAAGTTAAATTTACTTTTCATGAAAGTGAAAGAAAAGCGAAAAAAAAATTTACCACCGACAAGAAAAACTGCAAATGTTTCATAATTGAATTTTAAAAATTACGATGAGCATTTTAATGAGTGTCAGATAAATACTTCTCTATAGGAATAACAAAGTCTTAACCTATGACACTTTTAATACATTCAAGAAATTTGAATTAAGTATATAGTTAAAAATGACAGCAACTGTACATAAAATATTGACGAAGAATATTTTCTTCATTTTTCTTTTTTTCGGTAATTTCCCTCACTTATCACTCTCGAGTGATATTACAAAATATATAAAAATTTAAAGAAATTTTACAATCTTAAAAAGTTAAAATTTCAATTCAACCAATGCTTTCGTGAATAATTATTTCAGGGAACAAAATCATATACAATGATAAAGAAGAATTGTATTTGTTTCCGCATCATTGACGATTAATTCTTATCTAACAGAATCATCATGATGTAATCATTTTTATTTTACTATTCGCTCCGCTTCTTTTGCGCAAATTTTCTAAAAGAGCTAATTTTATATTAGTTTATTTATACTAACAATACTCGAAATAATATGAATTACTGCACCCAGAAAAAAGGTTTTTTCTTATTAATATATTTTTAATTAATTAATTAAAAAAATATATTTGACTCAGAGCCAACTAAATTTTTTATTTGTTCCGAAAAAATGTTATTTCACTTAAAAAATTAATTTCAAAAGATTTATTTTAGAAATAAAATTGTTATTTAAAACAAATAAATGGTTTAACAGACTCTGAGACAAAAATACTTTTATGTAACTCAAAAAAATTATATTTGATTTAATCAAGTTCGTTTCTGGGCAATTAGGCTAAAATAAATTTAATTTAATTTATATTTGATTAAAACAAAATGTTTCTCTGGCTGAGTGTGTAAATAACTATTAAGAAATAATTATAAAAATATTAATAGTGGTGCTAATAATAATAATAGTAGTAATAATAATTAAAATAATAATATTAATCAATAGTAATAATATAACAATATAATAATAATAAATGTGAAATTAAGATTAATCTACATTAAGAGATTCGTATTACTTGCATAGGAATTTTGAATTTAACAAAAAAAAAACCATTACTTAACCCTTTGAGGACCAGTGTTGCTTTCAGGCAACATGAACATTTTTTTATTAACTCGTGCATAAATTTCCTAATTTTCAAAACTGAATATTAAAACAATAATTTTCACATAGTCTGAAAAATTTCGTATGACAGACACTGGTCTTCAAATAAAAAACTTCAATAACTGTTCCTGAAAAGTTTGCTTAAAAATCAAAAATCGCGATTTTTTAAGAAAAAATTTGGTCCTCAAAGGGTTAACTGATTTAGATATGAAAGTAGAGCAAAAAACAAAAAAAAAATGCGACATTCTTTAATGCTGTCAAATTACGTAAATATTTTATAAATTAAAAAATAATGTTTATAAACTAGATGCCTGTAAATGTGGTTTAAAATAAAAATTATGCATTGTCCCTCAAGGACGAAATTGTTACACTGACCATGGAGAAACTGGAAAGTGCATAATCTCCCGAGTAGATAAAGATAATAATTAAAAAAAAAGTCGCGTATAAATACATTATTTGTTTAGTGAGTCTTATCTTAATAAAAATTCACTTACGCACAAGGAAGAAATTATAATAAACGTCATTTTACTTTTTTTTACCCCGCATTACTTTAAGCAAAAAAAAATAGATCTTATTTGCAAATTTTATAAACATCACTACAGTCACTTTAGTGTATAAATATTAATATACTCCATATCCTTACTAATTACACATTTACCTACTAATTAACACTTTACTTTGCATAATTAATTGTATTATTGTTATAATAACAACAATAGTAAAAATAAAAAGCTGATCGACAAAGATTAGAAAAAAATAATTTTATTATAAAATTCAAAAAAATATTATTAATAATAAACCATAAATTAGTAATTAATCTTGTTGTTCTTATTAATATTTTATTATTATTTTTTATTATTATTATTAATATCATCATTTATAAATTGATATAATTATTTACAATTTTCTGAAATTGAAGTTGTTTAGTAGGTATTAAAAACTTAAAAAATGGTTTTCTAATTATTTTGAAGATGAAAAGTTTGCTACTACTATACAAAAATTATAGATTCTAATTTTGTTTATCAATTATTCCTTGAAAATTTTAATACTTTAAATATTTTTTTCTACTGAAGAGAATTTTTTTCTTTTTGATAATAGTAAACAGACACTTGTAAGAAAACTCACCTAACGAACAGCTGTTCTTGATTATTGACTCGCCAGGACACAACAGTCGCTCCTGAAAATCGAATAATATTATTAAAATACATTTACAAATTCAAAATAAAATCGCGCTCTTAATTAAATTCTCTACATTATCCAATGACGATATAAAATTAACACTATAAGGAATTTTTTGCAATAAACAAAAATAAAAAAAGAAGATTTATTTCAAAATATAAAAAACCAAAACACCGACACTTAAAGATTCGGAATTCTTTACAAAAGATAAATTTTTATCAAAAAGAAAAAAAAATTTCCCCCTAAAAAAAGAATTTTAAAATTCACTTTTCAAAAACTCGAACTCGAAACACAAACTCGATTCGACTCGGCGCTTTTAATTCAAGTCGGAAATTTTCACGCGGCAACTGGACGTGCGCCAATTCTAGTGTTTTTTTCTCATCTGACACATTCAAAGAGTCTGCGGCAAAGGCGATAAGCTTATATAAAGCGGCAAAAGAAAAAAAAATGACGTATTTTTTGTAAAGAAATTCGCAAATCTAGTTTTACTTTTGGCGGGGGAAAAAATTCGGTTAAAATCCCTCGGAACAAGAAGAATCTTGGTAAAGTTACACGCGCACACGTACCGTGTAAATTGATCGTGCAGGTGGTATTATTCCCCCTGTCGAGCACGACAACGCTGGTAGCCGCTGCCATGTTTGAATCTTGAATGCCAGTGCTGCCGGCTCCAACCTTTGTTCAATGCCCCCGGGCGCACTCCCACTCTCACTCGATTCTCGTTCCGTCTTCCTCCCTTCATCTCATCTCTTTTTCCTATTCCCTTTCCCAGCAACTCTCTGGGGCACGTCACTCATGGGCGAAGCTATAGCGCTCTTCCAACTATGTTGC